TTCCAAACAAAAAAAAAAAAGAAGACGGCATAGGTAAAAAGCTTTCATAATTCCTAAATTATGAGACTTGATTGGAATTCTCCACTAGCAGTCCATAAGGTCAACATCACAGCGCCCAGTAACTAACCTCTTCACCTTGTGGACATTTAAAGAAGAACTCCAGAAATTTTGAAAACTTACCTTTGCAGTCCTGTACTACTCCTGCGCTGTGCTAGTTTTTTTCTCAGGGAGTCAAATAAAGCAGTTTCACTCCCCTAATCCTTAGTCTTGTGGTGGTCGGCCCTCACCACTCTCCCCCTCCACTCTGGCTGTACAACGTTCCTCGGTGTCCTCACATCTAATGCAAGTCAATGGACCTGCAGATGTGATGACGTCAGCAGTCCTTAGACCACTGGAGCCTGAAGGACAGAAGAATGCAGGGACTGGTTTAGCAGCCCAACGGGCTAGTGGCTAAAATTTTCTTAATTTGAGCCTCCAGACCCAAAACAACCACTTTACCCTCGCAGTACAGGGGTAGCCCCTCTGCAGGGGTAGGTTTTTAAAATTCCCAGAGTTCTTTTTAAACCCTAACTAAATGACATTTATGCATCAGATGGCTATGTGACAGGCTGACAACGTAGCAGAACAATTGGGAAACAGGGACAAAGCGTTGTCTCCCTAGAACAGAAAATGCCAGTACAATGACCTTCAAGGCAGGATCACCAGGAATTATTTTAATTAAAATTGCAGAATTAGAAATATGTAAAAATTACTTTTTAAATTATATTAACATGTTAACACTTATATAAGATTTGGGTGATTGGGTTACATAAATTTCAAGGGGCTCTGCTGTGGGCTGTGCCAGTACTAACCAAAATACAGACTACCAATTGTTCATTATACTGCCCTCCATGCTATTCTTTCCCAGATACAGCTCTGAAAAAACTGTGCCAGGAGTGCAGAGGTACCATTAGATCAATGACCCTTCTATATTATTACCAGGCCTATGGGCCATTTTCAGTGACTGATCGCAGTAACAGGGACCAGAAGTAGAGAGAACTCGGACTGAAAGCATTAAGCTAATGGTACTGCTTTGTTTCTGACACAATTTTCAGAGAGCTATATCTGGAAAAGGATTGCACAGAGTGGAGTATAATTAACACATTACACTATATGGCCAAATGTTTGGGAACACCTAACCGTTACTCCTTTATGAGCTTGGTGGATATCCCATTCTAAAACCATGGACGACTGGACGTTAATATGACCCCCCCCCCATTGGCAACTAGACCAGCCTCCACTCTTCTGGGAAGGTTTTCCACAAGATTGGTGTATTGGTGAGAATTTGTGCCCATTCAGCCAAAAGAGCATTTGTTAGGTCAGGTAGTAATGTTGGACGAGAAGACTTGGCTCCCTGACTGGCCTTTCAATTCATCCCAAAGGTGTTCCGTAGGGTTGAGGTCAGGGCTTTGCGAAGGCCTTCACACCAAATGTGACAGAATACACATAAACATGTGCTTAGGTCAAACCTACTGAATAGCTAGCAGGAGTGTTAAGGAGACATGTTCCTTATATTGCCGTATATTTAGAGTGGTAGAAGGGTGCTGAAACCATACTTAAGCGCTACAGTGCCTCCTCCCACACCTCACTATTTGTCACCAGCGCAATGGGCTGCCCTGCTGACCAATATTCACTGCATGAGGATGTGCCAGAGGGGTGCCCTGCTAAACAATATTCGCTGCATGAGGGTGTGCCAGAGGGGTGCCCTGCTGACCAATATTCACTGCATGAGGGTGTGCCAGAGGGGTGCCCTGCTGACCAATATTCACTGCATGAGGGTGTGCCAGAGGGGTGCCCTGCTGACCAATATTCACTGCATGAGGATGTGCCAGAGGGCTGTCCTGCTGACCAATATTCACTGGGCTTGAGGGTGTGCCAGAGGGCTGCCCTGCTGACCAATATTCACTGGGCTTGAGGGTGTGCCAGAGGGCTGCCCTGCTGACCAATATTCACTGGGCTTGAGGATGTGCCAGAGGGCTGCCCTGCTGACCAATAGTCACTGGGCTTGAGGATGTGCCAGAGGGCTGCCCTGCTGACCAATAGTCACTGGGCTTGAGGATGTGCCAGAATTTAAAGCATAGCTAAACCCAACAGAAAGGAATATACTACAGCTTAGCCATTAGATGTGCTGGTTGCATTTGTTATCCTTTTTCAAGCTTTTTTTCTTTATTTTTACCTGGTGATTCTGCAGGTAACACGCTTCCAGTCCTAAGATGACAACGCGTACCCGAACTACTGTATCAGGACAACAGAAACAAGATAGGACCAGTGAACCCCACTCCCCTCCTCCATAACATAGAGAGGCGTAGTGCTGTAGTCCTCACAGATAACTGATATAATTGAGAATGGGAAGTTATCTCTCGAGTTTTCTGGCAAAACCAACAGGTAGTTTTTTTCAACGTATCCAACTCATATAACACAATGCTTTCTGGTATATTTAACACACCAAAAAGGACCAAATAAGAGAAGTTCATTGTTGGGGTTTACATACACTTTAATTTGCTGTGCTAAATTAGACATCTGCATAATTGAGGACCTCAGGAATCAGGCCTCCAGGGGACTTCATCAAGACATCTAGGTTCCTGCTTTACAGTCCAGCTAGCAGTCTAGGCTTAAGCTAAGAACAATTGTATTTAAAGTGACATTAAAGGCTATTCCCCCGCTCCCCCAATCCTGCTGTAGGGACTTACCTTAAGTGATGCCTCTTGTTCCGATTATCTTCTTCTTTCCAGCAGTATTCAGCAGTCCCTCCAGCGTTGCTGCCGGTCTCTGATCCAGCGCTGACTGCTTTGTCTTCTGCGTCCCACGGAGTCTGTGCGGGTGCAAGCCGCTGCATTGATTACCCTGTGTCTCTCCTCTTCTCCCGGCCGAAGATCTGTACTGGGCATGCGCCCGCCCTATAATCCTTTGCGGCCACCCGAGAATCTTCAGACGGGAGCTCGCGGCGAAGACACAGGTAATTTATTACCTTTTTTGGTAACTTTTTTAAATGTTTTTGCATAGATCTACTTTTTGCAAGCAGTAGATATATGCAAAAAAAACCCAGAAGGTTTAAATGTCCTTTATAGAAGAACTCCAGGGGAACAAAATGTTATCAACCCTTGCAGTGGGGCTACCCCTGCACTACAATGATTAACTGCTCGTATTTGTCTAAGTTAAAAGTCATGCTCACCTGAACCCACGAGCCAGCTTGTTCTTAGACCGGTCCCTGGAGTCTCTCTCCCACTCTGCTTCAGTGGTCTAAGGTCCCTAAATCATCACGACACCAAAAAACATTTCAATACTGCCATATAGGAGAAGACAGGCTGAAGGGAGCGCCGTCACAGTCAGCCGGCTCAGAGCTTCGAGTGAGTATAACTTTGGTATTTTTTCCCTAGACAAAAAGCAAACTCTTAACCCTTGCAGTGTGTGGGTAGCCTCACTGCAAGGGTTAATGAACATTCTTCATAAGAACCTTTCAAGTTAGAAATTTGGGAACCGGCAGTGCTGACGTGTATTTGAAGGTGCATGTTCTGAGGCTGCCACCCTGATTCTGTCTTGCTCAGTCACATATCTGGAACAAACTTGTGCACATATTTGTCAAAGAGCATAGACTCTACACGTAGTGAAGCAAGGGTAAAGTATGAGGAGGGGTATGAGGTGAATTGGCGTGTGGGATGAGGTGCCCCTTCATTTTGAGAACACCAGGTAAAGTTCTGGAGAAGTACAGTTACTCCACCAAGAAGCAGCATCCTACATATTATCCTATAAAAGGTCTGCAGTTTTCTATGGAAACCATGGACAATAGAAAATATGGATGCAAGAGTGCAAGAGTTGGAACCTTTACATTGCTCAGTCACTGCTGGGGGGACATGGAGGTAAGACTTTCATTTTGTATTAGGAGAGTGGGCTACCACCGAAAAGGCGATTCAGTATTTTGAGTGGAGTCCTTTATCTGCTTAGAGCTCTACTTACATGTAAGATTCTAGTTTTATCTAAAGCTAGGCCAAACTAATTATTGTGTTTATTGTCAAGTTTGCTGCATATTCAAATTCAAGGTTCTATAAACTAGGACTGCCATGTATTAATAAACATGAATCACATACTATATATTCCAAGAAACATGAACCGTGGTAAGATAAGTCTTCATACATCCTTGTAAGCAGATAAAAAGAAACTTGGATAAAACCTTTCTGCTCTTTCACATAGTGCCCGTCCACATTATCAAGTAGAAGAAGAATAAAATGCATTAGCATACAGGGACATAGGCTGATAACACCAGCAAACACTTTCTATCTTTTTAAAGAGGACATGTTATTCCAAGAACAACACAAGTTACAAAGACACCTTTCCATGGTCTGTAGTACAGTGGCTACTAAATGAAAGGATACATTCACTTCTTGGTTCTTATATTTGAGATCATTAAAAAGAGGGATAGAGGTGTATGATCATGGTGTGATCTCCCATTGTGAAGTCCTAGTCTTGGAGACTTTTAAGTCAGCCTGCACCTTGCCTGGTGTAAAGTGGTGGGTAGGGACCCTTGCCCTCTTTTTGTTGCCACTTACACACTGCCAGTATATGAGACACATAATACTGTCTCTGGCCTTGTATTGCGCTGAGTGAACCCTGTCTGTAACAGGGATGTGACAACTGTCCATGCCTAGACTATAACACTTGCCACTGATGTCAAGCAGCCGGATTACAAAGGTCCCCCGCAGCATCTAGCTCAATCTACTCTCTGATCAGAGAGGAACGGAAGCTGGTCATAGACCCAACTCAACCAAAAGCTTTTACAATAAAAATAACTTTAATACACTCTAATACAGAGTGTATCTAACTAGCTGTTAGACATTTTAAACTGGAACATCTGCATGACACATTTCATCCTCCCCTTCACCTCCCAGCTCCTCAGAGAAAGTATATATCCTTTAAAGTACAACAGTCATTTGACATGATTGCTATAAATACAGGTTCATGACTCTAATCTGATTGAATGAACTCAGGGTGGTCTGTCTTATTAACAATCTTGTTTAAACAAGCTCTGCCTACGATTCATTAGAACTATTCAAAATACTGCTTCCTCATTGGATATGCTACCCTTCTTGGCAGCACCATTAGTAGAAAGATTACTTATGCCCACAACAAGTCAGTAATTTCATTCAGTAGAGAGAGGGATTAAGGCAAAAGGGTCCTGAAAGATTTTTCTGGATCTCTACATTTTGTGCCCAAATTGTGTAACCCCTGCAATGCCTGGAGACGTCATACGTTCATTAAAGGAATACACACGTAACATGGTCCTAGGAGCGTATGTTACAAGTCCTGAGTGCCCATTATAAAATAATGGAAATATTGTAAGGCTAGGCCCACATGGCATGGCATTGTGGGGTTATCGAGCTTCCCTTGCAGTGCTATCCTCACACAGAATGTTTTGTAATACCATCTTCTCCTGTGCACAATTCACAAACCAGTCAGAGGTTCTAAAAATGGAATTTTAAAAACATACAAAATGTCATGTGGCAGTCATTGGGGAGCACTGGGGCGTCTCCAGGCTGTCTCTTCTCGCTGACTGCTGTTGTTGTTTGTGGTGGCATGGCTGTTCTGTTCGGGAACAGGTTCTTCATTGTTCGTTTTCTCCAGAAGTGGAGCAATGGATTCCTTTTCCGTGCTTCTTTTTTTACGGGCACGGGCTGGCATAGTCAGCAGCACCAATATGCAGACAAAGTGGAGGAAGTAGGACCAGGAGCTTAATAAAAGAAATACATACATATTGAAATTAAACAGAAATCAACACTTCTTTATGTATATGTACAACTAATATCTCATACCCCAAAAGGTGCAAAGTCTGTTTTGCCAATAATCTAATGCATTGCTACAGTATACTTTTCAACAGTCCCAAAGAGAGAGAGATTGTGTACAATAGATGTTGATTTCACATTTATAAGTGTGGTTGATTAGATCAGTGTGGGGTCTGAGACTCCACGCTTGGGCTCCACTTGGAGAACCCCCCCTTTCACCGATGGGAAAAAAAACTCTCTATACATACCTCTTCTTTACGTGTCTTAGGACGGGGGTAATGGTGC